GGGGACCATTTTTGCAATTTTGTCTTTTGTATTCTTTTGATTATAAGGGGTATAATAGTCTTTTTAAGTTGATAGGGACCAAAACCAATAAACATATTCAATTTTGGACCATTGGTGCACCATCAATTTTTTTTAGCTATATTACACTTCTAGTTTGGAACCTCAATTTTGGACCTTAAGGACTTTGATCATTCTAAGTTGCAATCAGAACATGTGTCGTAGGTGTTGTTTGTTTTTGTCTGCAGAACTTTTTGACATATTGTTTCTTTTTTAGAAGACTGCATACCTAAAAAGGTATTAAAGTCTTCTTATTGTAATTGACAAAAAAATGTTGTTTTAGCCATGTTTTTGTTTTGATAAAGACCTAAGGTTGAGATTTGTTTCTATTTTGGTCTTTCTGGTTGTAAAAGACTTCTTTGCCTTAGAAAAAAATTAATCAAAACAGTGTGGTTAAACCCATAAAAGAAAATTAGCAAACAAAAGACTGCCTGGTTATGAATTTGTACAGCAACTTCTTTACAAGAAATCTTAAACGTTTGGTATTTAATTACAAAAGCAATAAAAATCATTACTTCAAGAAATGTCGTTCACATATAAACACTACTAAACCTCATAATCAAGCAACAATCCCTCAATATTTAAATAAACCTAAAGCAATACAAGAAAAAACCCGATTGAGATCTAAGCAATTACTTGGTTTGAATGGATAAAAATATTTTTGAATTAAAATGAAAAGTGAAAGTAGATATACACGATTTCTTTTTCCTGGGCCAGGACGCATGCCTAAACAGCCCATGTTATGCTGTTTGTGGGCCGGGCGTCTAGCTGAGCTCTGCCACGAAATTTACACGAAAAATGTTGAATTTCGACTACAGTACAGAGGTGCCGGTAACTGTGAAACAGAAGCAAGCTGTCAAAGAGGAATTAACACTAAAAGCCCCAAATTTAAGCGTGTTGATAATATTGATTTCAAGTCTCTCGTTTTAATTCGGTATTATCTTTCTCAAATTTTATGTTTTTCTTAGAATTAGAGGCAGTCTTCCGAAATTCATGAAGAATAACTCAAGTTAATTGGTTAATTGATGGTATGTGAGACTCTTAGTTTGATTTATTGTTGTATATTCCACCCTACAATGTTAAGATTTATGGAGTCATGAACAAATTGACAAGTTCCTAAGAGTTCAAGGGACATAAATGAAACTTGGAAATTAAAACAATTGAATTGTTGAATCGACCGTGGAATCAATTGTTTAATATTTATTGTCACTATCTCTAATGTGAACGCAACAATTGAACATTTGAATTGGACGCGAACTTTCGGTGGAATAATCAATGGACGGCTAAAGAAAAATCTACGCATTTTTCAATCTTTGCGGCAATCTTGTGCATATTGCGGCTCACAAATATACCTATATATATGCATGTATGTTTTGCATATTTTGTGTGCAAAAACTTGAGAGAACATCAAGTGTAGAGTGTCAAGCCAATTGTAATCTTGTGAGTTTTAATAAAATTCTCTAGTTGCAGCCCGTGGATGTAGGATTTGCAACGAATCCGAACCACGTAAAATCCTTGTGTTCTTCTTGCTTTATTTTCGTGAGTTTGTGTGTGTGTGATAGTGTGTTTCCGCTGCGTGTACCCGGTCCGGTTCCTAACAACTGGTATCAGAGCCAGATTAGCGAGGTTTGGAGGGTACAATCATTTTTTTTATCACGCACGAGTGTACCTGATTTGTATCTTGTTTGTCGTAATGGCTGAAGATAAGGTTGTAATCGAAAAGTTCAACGGTTCTGATTTTAGCTGGTGGAAAATGCAATTAGAAGCATTGCTATGTCCGAAAGACTTGGACATGGTACTCGGAGATAAACCGGAGAAAATGGAAAAAGCTTTTGAAGATGCGTGGAACTCAAAGGACAAGAAAGCCAAGGCGGTTATTACATTGTCGTTGACGAAGAGCGTTGCTTTCAACATCATGAATGAAACCACGGCGCGTGATATGATGGAGGCTCTGTCAAATATGTATGAGAAACCATCGGCGGCTAACAAGGTGTTCTTGATGAAGGAGTTGTTCACTACAAGGATGAATGAGGAAGGCTTAGTTACGGTTCACATTAATAATCTAAATTCAATTCTGTCCAGATTATCATCTGTGGGAATTAAATTTGATAACGAGACTCAAGCATCACTGCTACTAGCTTCTTTACCTGATAGCTGGTCCGGAACAGTTACTGCTGTTACGAGTTCCGTGGGGACCAGTGGTATGACTTTTGAAGGGGTTAGAGATTTGGTTCTTGGCGAAGATATCAGACGCAAGAATCAAGGTGGATCTTCTTCTTCTGATTTATTAAATGTCGGAAGAGGTAGAGGGAATAGCGGGAGCAGTGGGAGTCGGGGAAAAAGTTCTTCTAGAACTTTGAAGAATGTGAAATGCTGGAACTGCCAAGAGGTGGGACATGTTAAGAGTCAATGTCCAAAGAAAGAATTAAACATTGCTGGTGCTGAGAGTGTGTCTGAGGATGATGCACTGATACTCAATATGGAAAGTTCTGTGGACTCTTGGGTCATGGATTCAGGGGCTTCGTTTCACGCCATGGACAACGGGGAAACGATGGTGAATCTAAAAAAATGAGATTTTGGAAAGGTACGATTAGCAAATGACGAGATGCTTCAAGTAACGGGCATGGGAGATATTGATCTAGTTACTTCATTGGGAACTACATGGAGCCTGAAGAATGTCAGGGTTATTCCGGAGCTGAAGAAAAAATTGATTTCTGTTGGTCAGCTGGATAAACAAGGACTGGAAGTAAGGTTTGGTGGTGGTAAATGGATGGTGGTCAATGGTAATTTGGTGATTGCTCAAGGTATGAAGCGTGGGTCATTGTATATGGTTGAGGTACCTGCTGAGGGAAGTATGACCATCCCGATTAAGCAAAACAAAATCTGGTTCGCTAAATCTACTGCTAAGAGAGTTCATTTTGCAAACATGAATTATGGAGCCAAGGGGATGTTAGTTGAACGAGTCGGAAATTCTAAACCATTCAGGGGATTCTGTGACAGTGGGAGCACAGGGTGTGTTCCGGGTACAGTTACAAAGAGCCGTTGGGTTTTGAAGACTAAGACTGGAAAATTCTCTCTTGTTGGATGTTTGCTATGTTTGGAGAGTGTTAGTGGTCCTCGGTGTATCTCTGGATCCGGTGGAGTGTCCAAACCAGTTGAGACAGAGGATGAGTCGGTGGCGGGATTAGCCATGGCTGAGTTGGAGCTAGTGGGAGCTTCAATTGGCCCTTTCTAGTAATTGATGATGAGGGGCGGCTGCAACTAGAGAAATCAGACTAAGTTTTAGCTTGTTCTTTGGAACTGGAAGCTTGAAGGACTTGGTTGTTTTTTTTTAAGATTACTGGAGTAATTGAGAGTTGGATGGCGGAGAAAGACTAATTTGTTCAAGTCTCCAAGTGGGAGATTGTTAAGATTTATGGAGTCATGAACAAATTGACAAGTTCCTAAGAGTTCAAGGGACATAAATGAAACTTGGAAATTAAAACAATTGAATTGTTGAATGGACGGTGGAATCAATTGTTTAATATTTATTGTCACTATCTCTAATGTGAACGCAACAATTGAACATTTGAATTGGACGCGAACTTTCGGTGGAATAATCAATGGACGGCTAAAGAAAAATCTAGGCATTTTTCAATCTTTGCAGCAATCTTGTGCATATTGCGGCTCACAAATATACCTATATATATGCATGTATGTTTTGCATATTTTGTGTGCAAAAACTTGAGAGAACATCAAGTGTAGAGTGTCAAGCCAATTGTAATCTTGTGAGTTTTAATAAAATACTCTAGTTGCAGCCCGTGGATGTAGGATTTGCACCGAATCCGAACCACGTAAAATCCTTGTGTTCTTCTTGCTTTATTTTCGTGAGTTTGTGTGTGTGTGATAGTGTGTTTCCGCTGCATGTACCCGGTCCGGTTCCTAACATACAACGCTTATAGATCTCATGATCATGTTCAGTTAGCTATAAGAGAATGTATCTAATCTAGCTGTTTTTTCTGGACGCCTCGCTTAGATTTTAAGATCAGATCAGGTAAATCTGTCTAGAGCATTTCTTCTTACTCTAGCATGGCAACCAGCTACACAATTCATTAAAAGTCTTGTTGTTCTCATCACATTGTCGAATCAACATTTTCTTCTTTTTACATATTTTGCCAAACACTTCATTCTTTTATACCAAGTACATTACATTATATTGTGCAAGGACAATAATATGACTAAACATCTTTTATGGTTCCATGTTTCAGAACTATTCATTCATTTATATATAACAATTAAAGGTGTATTAGTGCTGTTGGCTATTTTATATTGTTTTGTGTGTGAAAATAAAAAATTAATTTGTTTAACATAGTACCAATGCTAGGGAGGTCTAGAAAGTGTGGTTGTCCATTCTTTAAATTTGTAGATGTAAAACATTTTAGTATAGACTGATTAATAAAAAGAACTCGTTCAATTATTTTTCAAAATATATAAATTGCATGTTTGTTAATGCTACCCTCTTGTTTTAGAGTCACTACTAGTGTAGCACTTTTTACAAAAAAAAAGTTGGTTATTTTTAACAATGTAGGAGACCATGGATCAAAGCTGAAACGGACCAATTTGGCTTGTTTATAACTAGTTTACGATTTAAATTAATTTAAGTGAGATAAGTTCATTTCATAGTTTGTTTTTCAGTTCATCTGTTTTTCATATCATCTTTAATTTGATTCCATCAGCTCATTTTCGGGGCAATCTGTTTTTCAATTCATCTTTAATTTGTCTTATATTTTCATTGAAATTTCATAGAAATTACGGAGTGTAGGTCCCACACAAACAGGCCACCAGTTTGAGGTTGTTCATTTGAATTTTTTGACTTCACAATTAAGACTATATAAATCCTCATGAGGGGCAGTTTGAATATGCATCACTACCAAAAAAAAATCACAAAGATTTTCATTAACATAATGAATCCTTGTGTTTTTGTAATTTTCTCACTTCTCTTGCTACATGCTGAGACTATAACTTCCAACCAATTGGGAGGAGGAGATGAAAATGGTATTATTATGAGAAAGTGTTCCGATAAGGAGAGACGTGCTCTTCTTGATTTCAAAGCTCACCTCCAAGACCCTGATGAAAGTCTCTCTACATGGAGTGCTGAAGAAGAAGAAGAAGATTGTTGTAATTGGAGAGGAGTCACTTGCAACAACCAAACAGGTCGTGTCATCGAGCTAAATATTAGATTCGGTGGCCTTGAAGGTGAGGTTAGCAATTCTTTGCTTAACTTAAGCTACCTGACTCATCTTGATCTTTCATTCAATTCTTTTCATGGAACCATTCCCACCTTCATTGGTTCCATGACTCGTTTAAGGTACCTTCACCTTGGTTGGAATGAGTTTAATGAAATCATTCCCATGTCCATTGGTTCCATGACTCATTTAAGGTACCTTAACCTTGGTTGGAATCATTTGAATGGAGCCATTCCAAGTTTCATTGGTTCCTTGACAGAACTAACGTTCCTTGACCTGTCAAATAACTCTCTTTATGGAACCATTCCTCAAGAGTTTGGAAACCTCACCCACTTGCAATACCTTTACCTTGAAGACGTTGGCAGATGTAGAGTTGAAAACATAGAGTGGTTGTCCCATCTTTCTCATTTGGAGGCACTTGGAATGGATGGGATTTCCCTTGCCAAACAAAAGTATTGGTTAGATGTGATTTTGAGTCTCCGGAAACTATCATGGTTAAGTTTAGATGGATGTGAGCTGTCACAGGTCATGTATCTATATTCTTCTTCATTTCTCAACTCTTCTTCTTCATCTATTGTTACCCTTGATCTCCGAAACAACAATCTTAACTCGTCCATATATCGTTGGTTGCTCCCATTGACAAGCAATAAGCTTCGTTTTCTTTATCTCAATGGCAACATGTTAGATGGGATACCCAAATATCTTGGTAACCTCTGTAGTTTGGAAACTTTGGTGTTCCATAACAACTCTGTTGTTGTCAAATTTCCTGATTTTCTCAACAACTTGTCGTCTGGATGCACATCGCTTACATTACAAGGGTTGTATGCTGGACATAACCGATTTATAGGGACACTCTCCAATGAGATCCTAACATTCAAAAATCTTTCCATTCTTGATATGAGCTCTTGCAGTCTAGGACCACGCTTCCCCAAATGGATTCAAAAAATCAAAAAACTTACCGCTCTTGATATTGACTACAATGGAATTTTAGACACGATTCCTCTGGGGTTTTGGGACATGTGGCCTTCTCAATTAGTATATCTGAATCTCTCTTCCAACAACCTCAGTGGGAAAGTACAAGATTTATCATCAAATTTTGGCAACAATTCTAGGATAGATTTGAGTTCCAACAGATTTTATGGTTCTATAACAAATATCTCTTCCACTGTGGTATTACTAAATCTTTCTAGAAACAAATTCTATGGTGGAATGTCCTTCTTATGCCAAATTGTCCATGGGTTTTTAGCTGTTCTTGACCTCTCCCATAATTTTCTAAGTGGACAACTTCCAGACTGTTTGTGGCATTTCAAAGAACTAGTTGTTCTTAATCTAGAACACAACAATCTCTCTGGAATGCTTCCTCCCTCCATTGCATCTTTGATAAAATTGGAGGTATTGTATTTGTACAAGAACAACTTATTTGGAGAATTGCCTTTGTCTTTAAAGAATTGCACAAGGTTAAGTTTTTTGAATTTGGTGGCCAACAAGTTTTCTGGTAACGTGCCTGTTTGGATTGGGGAAAACTTATCAAGGTTGTATGTTCTTATCCTGAAATCAAACTCATTCTTTGGAACCATCCCTTTACAGTTATGTCAGTTGGCTAATCTTCAAATTCTGGATTTGTCACTGAACAATCTCCATGGACCCATCCCCTCATGTTTGGATAATCTTACAAGCATGGTTCAAACAGGTTCATTACCAACACATAATGTACATTCCTATTCAATTAAATTGTTTGTCCGAAGACATGGTTCTTATGCTGAACTTGTTGCAAAGTATGTTGACCATGCAATGATGGAGTGGAAAGGATATGAACGTGAACTCACCAGTACTCTGGGATCGCTAAAGAGCATTGACTTGTCAAGCAACAACTTAACATGACAAATCCCATCTGAAGTGGCCAAGCTCTATGGACTGCATGCACTCAACTTGTCAAAGAATTGTCTACTTGGAGAGATTCCGGAAAAAATTGGTCAACTGAAACAACTTGAAACTTTGGATTTATCTAGAAACAACTTGTCTGGAGAGATGCCATTTGGCATGTCTAGTATGAATTTTTTAAATCATCTAGACGTGTCATATAATAGCTTGTCAGGGAGAATTCCATCCAGCACTCAACTGCAGTCTATTGATCCTTCAAGATACATTGGAAACCTGAGACTATGTGGACCTCCCCTTACCAAAAAATGTCATGGAGATGATGAATCCGAAGTACCACATGTCATTGCTGAGAGTGAGGATGGTGGGGAAGACACATATGAATTTTGGGGGTGGTTCTATATTGGTGGAGGCACTGGTTTTGCTACTGGATTCTGGATTGCATGTGGTGCTCTACTTGTCAATCGTCGTGGGAGACATGTTTTTTTTCATTTTTATCATAGATGCACAGATTTGGTTTATGTGAAAGTGATGGTGTTCTTTGCAAATCTGCAAAGGGTTGAACATAGATCGTCTTGTAAAATCATGCTTCACTTGTATTTGACAGGGTTTTTAAGTCCCTAATATCAATAAAATTACCATGGGTGGCCTTTCTCCATTTGTGTGAACTAAGGCAACATGAAAACTTTATATTTTAAATCTATTTAATTAATTTTGTATATTTTTAATGAACAATTTTATAGGACAAATCTCAATGTAGGTTATCTGTGGAAGTGATACTAAAATATGGTCCATCCATATACACTTGTTACTCACATGCTTTAATTTGTGGGTAATTTACAAAAAATTGGCTAAACTAGACTAATAGATCGATAAACAAAGAACATGAACTCTAAATAAAGCAGGATTTCATTTTAGACTTTCTATGAAAGCAGGCTTTTATTATATACTAGAATAATTATATCCTTTTGATTGAATTTAATTGGCATACATTAGGTTTAATACGGAACTCCTCTAATTAGAGTATATTTCTTACAGATTATGAGGTTATATCTTTCTGTGTATTTTCTCAAATTACACTTTATGTTATAAGGTAAGCGGTGTTGTAAAAATCCCGATTAGGTCCCGATTAATCTCCGATTAATCCTTAGACGCTACTTAACCGATTAGAGAGCGCCTATCGATTAATCCATGCATACAAAATGACTAAAACAATAGAACCCGATGAAATTTTAACACTCTGAAGAAATTATATTTCAATAGAAACTATTTGAGGTATGATTAGTGTTGTATTTATCATATTAACCTATTTTGTTATGATATTAGTGGTATTTATGAACTTTTATATGATATTAGTCATATTTAATTTTTTTAAATCTAACAAATTAGCAATTAATGGTCCCCGATTAATCTCCGCCTAGCCGATTAATCCATTGACCCCAGTCCACCGACTAGCTAACGTCGGACGATTTTTACAACCTTGAAGGTAAGAATGATTATTAGAAAAATATATCCAAATTCCAAGTAACAATTAGATATCTGATTAGATAGCCATCATTCTAGTTATAATACCTCCCAAAAAGTTAATTTTTTTTTCATTTTTATATGATACTAGTTTTTAATTTACAAAATAATCACAAAAACAATAATCTTAAAATGTTTGATTTTACAATTTAATCCATCATAGCCAATGTTTTAAAAACTAGATCGGCCATCTTAAACAGTAGGTCCAAAAACCCGGATGACGTCCTTGGGGGGGGGGGGGGGGACGGGGAACTGGGCAGCCACAAATGGCCTAATTTTTTTATTATAGATTTTTATTTAAAAATAAAAACTTAGAATAACGATAAGAGCCCATTTTTTCTAGAGCGGCCAGGACCTTTGATGATATTTGATTCCTCATCACCGGCGCTAACGATATCATTATTATTTATAATTAAATATAAAATTATAAAAAAAATACAAAATATAAAAATAACCTCCTTGCAGCCGGTGGATGAAAATTTCACAGAAAAAACCTTCACTTATTGATTTATAAGAAGAGTCCTCTTTACATATTTCTAAATAATGTGATTAATATAATAATAAAAAAACATGTGAAGAGAGATCAAAGGGAATATGTAGCATTTTGGTGGATTGTTGTGTGTCCCACATTTTGACTCAACAAAGAAAGAAGTGGACAAAAACCGTAAGACCGGACCAAAAAAAACCCAAACCGGTCCAAAAAAAAGACTGAACCTTTACGAGACCGGTCAGGGTCTGCTAATGTGTGTATGAGATTTGTTTTGGTCTTGGTTGTTGTGATTGTAAAACGACTTGTCTACCTCAAAAGGAAAATCAATCAAAATAGTGTGGTTAAACCCATAGAAGAAAAACGCGCAAACAATAACTACATTGGTATGAATTGTACGGTAATAGTCACATACATACAAAAAAATTACCACTTTAAAAAAGTTGTATACATATAAACCAGTAAATCCAAGATAATCAAACAATCATGACCCAATCCTCAATATTAATTGGTTTGAACTGATAAAAATATATTTAGAAAGTGGAAGTAGACTTACTTGACAAAATCATTGCCCATAATCATTTTTAAGAGTTTTTAACTTCTTTTTTTTTTGGTATGGGCCGGTACTATTACATGGTTTTTCTTTGTAGGCGGTGGTAGTTTATTCTTTGCATGTTCCCATATTTTTTATTGTTATGTAATTGTAATCATTCACTAAGTATGGGGCTTGCATTTAATGGGCCCTAACGCATTTGCCAAGCAAAACAGGCTACACTGTTTGTGGGCCACTTCGTCTTACTGCTTTTTGGTTCGATGAATTTCGAGCTATAGAGGCACCGGTGAGAGTGAACTTATGAAAGTGAAATAAACGCAGTAGCAGGAAAAAGAGAAATCAACACTTAAAAATCCCAAATTCAAGCTTACTATTGATCATAGCTCATATGTTCTCCAAGATCTGGTACCATGTTTCTTATCATTACATTGTTGAATCACCATTGCATTCCTTTTACATTATTAGTCAACACTACATTCTTTTCTACCAAATACATTCTAATTGTTCATATTCTGCAACGTTCATAACATGATTAAATTTTATAGTTAACAAAAATGTAATTAAAATGTTAAAATTTTATAGTTAATAAAGATGTAATTAAAATGTTAAAAAGTTTTGTATAGATGGTTAATAACAAGAATTCATTTAATTTTTCTAAAATAGTTAGATTATGATCTAGTTGATTATTATCTCTTGATGGAATATAATCTTTAGGAATTATCTCCTAGATTAGGGTTATCCTTTTTGAACTAAGATTAGTTTTAGTTTCCATAAGTTTTTATGTTTTCTACCTTAGAAATTTATGGTTATTGTTTTTATACTTACATTGATTTGTGATTAATCAAAAATGAAAAGGTTATTCATTATTTTGTTCTTCACTACTTATTGGCTACTGTTGCCACATCTTTCTGCATTAAGTGGTACCAGAGCTAGTAAATTTCATTTGCTCATCTTTATTGGTTTTCACAGTAATTTTTAGTGCATAATATCAGAAACATATGAAGTTTTCATGCCTACAAAGAGTGATCTTGATAATAGTCACCATGGTCAATTAAAAACTCTAAAATCATGCCACAACATCCTAATTAAAAGGAACTGAATGAAAACTTCTATTAATTCAAGAAACAAAACTATTATTAAGTTAGTGACATGTGTTAGGATCGAGACACTTAACACACGACTCTAAACACACACAACTCACGAAAAACAAGAACACGAGGGATTTAACGTGGTTCGGTCCTTCTCTGACCTACGTCCACCGGTAACTAGGAATTTATATTTCTTGGTGCTAATCTGCACTCTTTCTTTGTTACACTAGATACAAGTTTTACAAATGAAAGGAAGAAGCCTATTTATAATATTTTGAGTCGTAAGCCTTTTCTTCCATTCACATACATGTGAAATTGATAAGGCCACCATTGTTGAAATTCTGCAGCCGTAACAATTTTTCCATGTTCACATGAGAGTCCTTATTTCCTGCCACTTCTTTTGACTAACCCAATGGCTTCACACTCAACAATCTCCCACTTGAAGCCACGTAACAATCTTCACCATTGCTTCAACTGTGTATCTGTATTTCTGTAAAAAATTTTGATCTTGACTCCTTCCTAGTTACCCTGGCCTTCTCTTCAATTTACCTGAAGGCTAGTTGAAGCTTCCGTTAGCTCCAACACATCAGTCATGGCTAAGTCTGCCACTGAACTGTTCTTTGTCTCCACCGGCTCCCACTGAAATGAACTGCCCGATCCTGGAACATCCTGAGAACAAACGACACTCTCCATGTGAAGCAGATAATCTGGAGAGACTTTTACAGATGGAATATTGGTTCTCTTAACCCACTGTGTTCTGGGTATTCTAGCTGAAGCACAGCCCTTGCTCCCACTGCTATGAATGCCCTTGACTGGTTTTTCTGAACCGTTCCAAACACGTTCAACCTGAATCTGACCTGTGACTCTGGGTTTGCCATCTGCAAAGCAAACCTTCTTCTGTCCACGAGACTCTATGAACCGGATTTTGTTTTTCTTCTGAACTGGGACGGTTACTCTCCCAGACGGTAAACTGACCATATATAATGAACCCCTCTTATGTCCACGAGCTATCACAAGATTTCCTTTGACAACCTTCCACTGCCCATTCTTGAACTTAACCTCGTGTCCCTGTTCATCCAACTGCCCAACAGAAATCAACTGTTTCTTCAGACTTGGAATTACCCGGACATCCTTCAAAGTCCATGGACCAACTGGAGTCTTCAGATCTAAGTCACCTATGCTCGTCACATCAAGAACCTCATCGTTCGCCAGTCTTACCTTACCAAAATCCCCTTCTTTCAGATTCTGCAGTGCTTCACGGTTGTGGGTAGCGTGAAATGAAGCACTCGAATCCATAACCCAGGAATCCACATTGCTCTCCACACTACAGATCAAAACATCATCATCTGAA